ATCTTAAAATTAAAAAGAAAGCAGTATTGATCAACATTTTTCATTAATGATAACTAGTCCATATCTAATCAGGTAAGAGGAGACAGACGAGATGGTGGACTAGAGATGGGCTGTTACAAAGACCGCTTCAAGTTTAGTATGAGGCTCTCATGGCCGAACTTGTTGAGGATCCAGCGTCTTTCAAGAAATTCACTTTAATCGGACCTGATGTGTCTCGGGGGTCGGACGCGATTAGGCCGAGTCCTCTCCGCCAAAATCATTGAACTCTGCAATTCGTTTTGAGGCATTTTGAAAATGAGCAAGCAAGAGGTTGCGGACGGATGTATAAGGTCCGTATAGATCCGTGGCAATTCGTTCTTCTCCGTATCAATACGTTCTTCTCCGTATCAGACCGTACTTATTCGTTCTAACCCGTGCTTATACCGTAGCAGACCGTAGTGTATCCGTAGTGCGTCTGTCCTGATTCGTGTCGCTCCGTATCAAACCGTGTCGGTCCGTAACAATCCGTGTCTCTCCGGGGACTTTTGGTGGTAAATCCGTCGGACTCCGTACTCATACCGTTGTGTGTCCGTACTGGAACCGTAGCGAACTACGAAATTTCACATTTCCGTAGTAATCCGTGAACAATTAGACCGTAGCTCTTCCGTTTAGACCGTAGCTCTTCCGTAGCATTATCCGTGAATATGTGACCGGGGCATATTGAGATTTCTTAAAATCTCTGGGTTTTTTAGTCCGTGATATTAAAAGTGGGCATCAATTAAAATAGCAGAAAACCATAGTCAATCATTTAAATGTTCAGAATTACACGTATAAGCTTTAATTCTATACACTGTATCAAATCAAGATTATAAAAAAAGAAAAATAGAGCACAAGTCCCGAGTTCAAAGATTCAGCTGTCATAGACATTATGTATGGTTCAAAATTGCTGAACCATTTGTTAGAATTTAAATTAGAAAAATCACAAAGATGAATGGAAAATAAATAATATACATATCATTGGTAAATTACAAATACATTTTTGTGTTAGGAGGAAATTATTCAAAACATTTTTTTTAAATTCTAGTGTAATTAAGTAATGTTGATGCTCTTTCTTTTTTGATATCATTGTGGTTTAGCGTAAGATATCTACATAAAGTGTGAGAGTAGGATAGTCTAGGAGATTTAAGTTTATATTACTTATATTTGATTGGTAGGATAGCTTATTACTAATTGATGGGGTAAAAGACTTATGATGATTTGATATCTAATAAAAGGCTAAAGTAGTTTATTTTTAATGCATTTAATAATAATGTTTCATAGAATTATACAAAAGATCAATTTTATAAATTGTACATTAATACATAAATAGGATGATTTATTTGTATAATAGACATTATAAGAGGGACAATGGGTATTTGATAACAAATAATTGCAAATAAGGGCTAATTGTAGCTTTTAATTTTGTGAAATGTAAATTGGAATATTGTTGTTAATTTAAGTATTATGATTATGCCGAGGTCACAAATAAAACGAGACCGCCCCATTTAACGGCGGCCTTGGCAATTTTGCGGACGCCGGACGATTTTAAATCTGAAACCTTGCTTGGCCATGAATGAAACTGTCGCCGTACGAGTTTTGCCAAATTTATTTTACAGGAAGCATTCAAAGGATAGGGCGGTCGCAGCCCAATGTCCGTCCCGACGACGCCTGTGCGTTCATAAATGGATCGGCCAGTCGTCTCGTGGGCGCAGGGCAGTAAAAGCCTTACATTTTATAATAAAATAATAAATTAATATTCTTTCATAAATCTGTCAGTTGTCAATATGCCTGCAAAGAATAAAGGCATTTGCTAGAGACAAAGAGAATGCAAAACAAATGTACAGTAACGCTGATACGGAGCCACTAATGACGAGGCCATAGAAGGTGATCATCAAGAACTCACATGGAAATGGGGAAAAAAATGTTGTTTTTTTTTGTTATGCCTTAAAGGTAATAACAAAACAAGGCAACAATTAAAAAAATCTTAACCCCACCATGTTCCTATAAACGAGACAGTATAAATAAAATGAATAAAGTACAATTCTAACAGTTGTTATGGTTACAAAAGGTTACATAAGTAAAACACCAAAATGATCATGTAGAAAATGTCCTAAAGGAAGACAGAGCAACAAGAAAATCCCCTACAGGAACCTGACGAAGCAAGGCAGAAGACGAACATTAAAGCAATTCAGTCACAAAGGGCTTTAAGAACTGTCCATCATAGAGTCTTTGACAGTTGGACACTACGATTTCCTCACTTGGCCCGTCAGATTTAATCAAAAGAGGAAAGGAAAGCGTAGTGTCCAACTGTCAAAAACTTGAACACTAAGTATGCAGCATGTCTTAAAATAGTAGGGTCATAAACTCTTTTAATAAAACGTTTAATGATTTTAGTAAAAACAGCAGAAAAATTACCATGACCCAAAATCTTACGAAGTTTGTAAATCACATCGCCATAAAAACCAGGCTGGCTAGTCCCCTGTCGCAGAAGAGTTTTTAAATCACTATTGAACTTTGAAATTAAATCAAAATTACGATTGTAAAATTTTGTAAAATATTTCCGTAACTTATGATAGCGTAGCGCTGTTTTAGAAGCTTGTTGGTAATAAAAATATTCCGCTCGTTGAAATCCTTTACGTTGCTACAAGCTCTAGCGAATCTAATTAACTGAGAAACATATACCCCATAAGATGTTGCATGGGGTACGTCTCCATCTAAATGTGGATAATTAACTATACAAAAGTCAAAGTCATCTCTTTTATCATAGATTTTCGTGTGAATAGAATTGTTGTTGATAGTAATATGTCACACCAGCAAAGCATTAAGAAAGAAAAGGGAAAGGACACAATGGCGGTGAAAGAATTGAAGGAGTATAAAATGTGCGGGTTTTGGAAGAGGAACGGTCCACCGCATACTAACTACCCTACTGAACATGAAGAAACTTCAGCTCTCGCTGGGTACCTTTCTTTTAAGAAAGTGAACTCAAACTGCTATAGTAAGCAGTGCGCATGATAGGTTATTTCCCTTGTTAACGCACATTGTCTTTGCGTACAAAATAATAATAATAATAATAATAATAATAAAAATAAAAATAATAATAATAATAATAATGATAAAAATAATAATGATAAATAATAATAATAATACGGCGTCAGCATTATCACCGTCGTCTTTAACACTATTATCGTAACAAAAGTTAATAGTATGCTTTATTATTATTATCAATATTAATTATTATTATTATTATTTTATAAGGTGTATTGAGTTAGGCGGCGACTATGTTGAGAAAAACTGACATTCGACGCCACGCATTTATTAACAACTAGCGACGCCACCGGAATAACGTCGTAATGGACTGCCCCGCATCCGCTACCCCTTGTCTCATTACCCTGCCCACAGACACTGATCCAGTTGCCAGACAACTTAAAAAAATTTGTACTTATGCAATAAAGTTGCATTTTGTTCATGTTAATTTTGTTTGTTTTTATTTTCAGTAGTTTTTGAGTTACAGCAAAAGTCGGACACCCCTCGTATTTGTTGTTAGTTTATATGATGAGTAAATTGAAATCTTTTAAAGTATATCTTTGGTCAAATATTAAAAAGAAAAATCAGTTAAGTAACATTTTTTTTAAGTCTTGTTACATGGTGCATCAGTACATCTGAAAAATGTGTATATAAAGTTTGGGGGCGCTTGCAAAGACAAAAAGAAAATCTAAGACAAACCACAATACTTTCCCGTTCCATGGAAGATACTCGACTGAAAATACCTAATCCAACAGATTTTTTGCAGTTGCATCGTTACTAATTTATTGAAAAATATGTTTGTCAGAATTTAACGCTTTGACTGTACACAGTCCAAACCAATGCCAAAGTGATATTCTCAAACCTATTTCATTACAGAAATTGTAAAAGAATGGTATTTAATACTCCTCACACTGATCTCTAAGGACGTAGCTTTGACAGCAAAATTGCCTAAAGTGCTTAAAATGACATGCTCTATATCAATTCACGCTGTCTTTATTAAACTCTAGAGAGAGCAACCCTGCAGAAAATGCAATGCATATCTGACTTAAAGTGAGATTTTATCGAAGATATGCATGGCAAATTATGTATGTAAAATTAGGCATACTTAAAAATCCAATGCAAATTTTCTTTCTTTTAACCAAAAATTAATATCATTTATAAAGCTCTTAAAATAATTTTTATATTAAGGTGTAAAATTTATTGGGGAAATGCATTATCATTTCCTAGATTTTCTGTTATTATTCTCATCTTTAACGTATCAAAACAACTACATTACGCTATACATATAACCGTTCTTAGTAAGGTAAAAGGAGAAAGGGACATAATTATAAAAATTGTGTTTCTATTTTTGATACCGAGACATGATTACATTTTGAAGCAAAAAGCTTTAAAAAAGTATGAATGCATATCTGAAGGAAATTTAAGACTCTCAATTTCTTAATAACATTTGAAATTTTAAAGCAGCGTATGAGTTTAACATTATGCAATTTCTATATTGGTACTCTATGAAAAAGATGAAAAACAATTCATTTCATTCTTTATAAGATTTCATATTCGAAAAAATTCTTTTAAATCAACGTTTTTTTATATATACCACTCTTTCTCGGGTTTCAAACACTTTAGTTTTCTTGTAATGGGTTAGCAACAAAGAAAACCTCTCTGTCACTCCAGTTTGTCTTCCGCGTAACGATGTGTATACTGATTTCATTTCATTTCAAAAACGTTTTTTTCTACTGTTTGTGAAGATTTGACAAGCTTTTCATAAAATATACAAAAACGAAAAATGGTAAACAAAAAAGGGTGACGAGGATCATAAAAGCTCTACAAGGAACAAAAAGCGATGTTAAAAAGAGATATTTGTAAAGTTTATTCAAATGTTATACTGCATATAGGGGAAATTAAACTTTGACCAGCCTTTTCAAAGAAAGACTCTTATCATGAAAATGATGCGAGGATTTATTATATAAAGCAGACTAGCTCCTGGACAGTTGTACATTTGATCATTGTGCGACTTTAGATACCATTCAAGTTTCGTTCGAACATTTGATTACAGGTATGTGATGAATATTTTATACTTATACATTTCACATTAACGTTTATTATGTGTCTACTCTTTAATCTTATTATATCATTTTAATTATATAAGTCATTAAATGTCAAAAAGTCATACGTTTTTTTATAAACTATGACAAAATATTTTTTTCCTTTATCGTAATCGCTATCTAATAGTATTTTCCAATTTGAAAAGAAAAACCATTAAAGTTTTCTCAAAGTGAATTTTTATACATGACCGGTTTCATAATTTACCTAATTATAAAAATTAAAATTATTTTAAAGTTACATTAAATAAATTTCATAAAAAACTAAATAGCGACATTTCATTAATAAATTGGGTTTTATATCGACTCCAGGTCTTATTTTGGTGTCCAAACAACCAAAATGAGTTTTATTAGCATAAAAATAGGTAACCTCATTGTGGCGAAATGGGAAATACAATTTCTGTTTGCATGAGAAACTCCGCCTTCGGATCATCCGTTCATCAATATTAAATCAACAATCATGACTATAAGTAGCAGTCCTAATTTAACGGTATATTTCCGCATTGTAACGGATGTTTTCATACAAATTTAATCTTTTTACGAGATTATTACTTTTACTGAACCCCAGGTTTAGTGCACCGTGAAGATTAAACGGTTAAAGTGTGTTTGCACAAGAAAATATCGCATATAGCAACTATAAAACTGTGACGTAGCGCATACACGAGCTCATTATAGTCTTCATTTGCATGTTAAAATTCGTATACGAACTTTGGTGGTACCGTGGGGTTTCCCGTTTAAAATCCTTATTTATGAACAATATTTGATGAGATTTACAACAATACTATTAAACAGGTTAATGAAACTGTAGAATGTTTGATTTTTAGGCCGACGGCAAAATATTTTTACATATTTATTTAATGTAACTTTAAAGCATGTTTGTCCTAGTATATTTAAATCGGACGTTTTGGGTTTATTTTCGAACACGTTTGTAGTCACGTACGAGCATGATTTATAATTGACACAAAAACGATATAAACCAAGCGTGACAGTCTTAAACAGCAGATACGAGGAAAAAAGGAAAATTATAAGAAGCAAATAATGCCAACAAACATGAAAATCTCTTCGCCAAGAATAAAATCGTTGGGAAATATTTAAAAGTTTTTGAAGATGAGATTTAATACTTATTGTTAATACAAAATTTATGCTACTTTAAAAGTTAAGGTTGCCAAGCCGACGGGCTGCTAAGTCGACAATGTAACACCAAAAATTATATCAGAAACTTCATCTTTATGGACTTGATTTTAGTTCTGTTGTAAATGGCAAAATCTGTATAAAGACTTCATTCCGTTTTAACTGTTGTCGTTGTTTTTTGTTTTGTTTTTATTTTTTTATATGTTTTGATATCTTTAGCCTCCTGGACCGCCAACATCACGCCGCTAGCCCTTGGCCGCTTACTTCCCGCCGTTATGTCCCCAGACTGCTAGGTTGCCAACTTTAAGCTGAAAGGCCACTGGTCCGCCAACTTCCTACATCTGATAATAAAACATTGACAAATTTAATACGTTTTGTGGAAAATCTCTGTCAATATCGGGTGAAAATTACTGACCCAGATACTAATTACAAAACATATAAATAAAATAAATAAATATTGAATTATAATAAATTTATTATAAAAATATAGTAAATAGATAAATAAATGGATAATTAAAATGATGTTATTGACATAGCAAATTGTTATTATTTCATAAGTGTTATTTTCTATGTTGAGTTTGAAGCTTTTTCATCATCCATGGTAGAAAGGACATTTACTTGCAAACACGTTCTATATATACAGTGGAAACCCTTTATTAAAACCACCAAAGGGACTGGACTAAAGTGGTCTATATATATATAGCGGGTGGTCTTAATTGTGGATATAATTATCAAGGCATATTATTTCATGACTACTATACATGTATTTAATTTATTATGTATAAAAAATTAAACAATTATATTATAACCTTCAAATATTACTATAAACTGATTTTACAATAGTTTATTCTAATTGGAACATTAGTCTGAAGATATTTAATAAATAGATTACATTTTCATAGGTTTTGTTTCATGTACATAATTCACGTATTAATTAAGAAATTTATTTATTAAGTTCTTCACAAAATACATGTGCAGAAAGTAACATTAAACCAATCTGAAGTTTATTTTCTCACCTTTCTACAATTTTCCAATCATAACAGTTTTAACACATTGTTTCAAGTGTCATGCTTTAGATGATTCAAGCAGATGAATCACAACAAACTTATTATCTGAATCGGTATAGAAAATCAGTGGTCTCATTAGTGGGGTCAGATAAAGAAAACAATGCATTGGAACTGAAACTGGTAATCTTAAAATAGGATAAGTGCCATGGTCTAAATTGTGGATCATGTTACCATTAAGATAAAAAAAAACAGAAAAATTCCGTTCTTTTAAAAATGTGTCTAAATAGAGAGTTGGTCTTAATTCATGGGTGGTCTTAAGTAGGGATTCTACTGTACCGTATTCTGCAATTTCAGATGAACGCAGTAGAATCGTCTTGAGTGCGCAATGGTCGCCGTGACAGTGTCGTAAAGTCGCAGTAGGAGCGTTTTAGAAAATATAAAGCTCCATAAAAGCGCCGCACACACGCAGTATAAGCGCAGAAGAAACGCCGCACAATCTCTGTACAAGGGCCGTGGTCATTTACAGCGATCAGCGATTCTTCTGCGCTTTCACGGCGCTCCTGATGCGTTGTAGGATATGCTTCTGAGTTGCTACGGCGTCCTAACTGCGATCCCACAGCGCTCTTATCCGAACGCCGAGTGACGGCGTTTGTTTTGAGCATGTTCAAAACGCGCGCCGTCAGTCGGCGTTCTATGCGATGCCACTGCGATGCTGTCGCGATGATTCGGCGATATTTGCGATCTAGCAACTCAATAGCATCTCCTACAACACAACAGGAGCGCCGTGAAAGCGCAGAACGATCGCCGAATGAACGCCTTTGTTAGCCATGGCGCTTGTATGGAGATTGTGCGGCGTCTCTATCGCGCCTATACTGCGTGTTTACGGCGCTTGTACGGAGCTTTATTTTTTCTCAAAAACTCTTACTACGACTTTACGGCACTGTCACGGCGACCATTGCTCTTTCAAGGCGATTCTACTGCGTTCATCTGATATTGCAAAATACAGTACAGTAGAATCCCTACTTAAGACCACTCCGGAAATAAAATCACCCTGTATTAAGAACAATTTTCAAAAGAAAGAGATTTTCTGTTATTTATGTTAATTGTAGCATGGTCCATAGCTAAGACCACACACCACTTATCTACTTTTAAGACCACCAGTTTCAGTCCCAATTCATTGTTTTATTTGTCTAACCCCACTATTGACACCACTGATATTATTCAGATCACAAGTTTGTTGTTATTCATCTGCTTGAATTCTCTAAAGCATGACACTTGATGAACAGGTGTTGCAATTGTTATGATTAGAAAATTGTATAAAGGTGAGAAAATAAACTTCAGAGTGGTTTAATGTTATTTTCTGAAAATTTATTTTGTGAATAATTAATTTCTTAATAAATAAGAATTATGTACATGAAACAAGATCTATGAAAATCAATCTTTAATATTAAATATCTTCAGACTTGTTTGTTTGTTTTAGGATTAAATATTATAACATCAGTTTATAGTAATATTTGAAGGTTATAATATAATTGTTTAAAAACATTAAAAATTCAAATAGAGTGGTCATGAAATATATATGCCTTGATAATTATAGCCATAATTAAGACCATCCGCAATTAAGATCACTGTGACTTTAGTCTAGTCCTTTTGGTTGTCCTAATAAAGGGTTTCCACTGTATATATATAAAACGTGTTTGCAAGTAAATGTCCTTTTAACAATAGGTGATGAACGTCAGCAAGCTGAAATATTGCTTGCTTGCATGCAGTTGCAGCATTTACACGACTTTTCAGAATCAGTGATATCTGGTATATGAAACACGATATATACGCAGTGTGAACGCCGCGAAGCTCCGTGAAAGCGCAGTAAAAGCACAAAGAACGCAGTAGAAACGCAGTTCGAACGCAGACAATCGCAAATCAAAACGCCGTTGGAACGCGTAATAACGCCGTGGAAGCTCCGTAGCGACGCCATGATCGCCGTGAAGACGCCGTGAAGTCTCAATGTCATCAAAAATATCAGATTTTTCTTGCGATCTTGCGGCGCTTTGTTAAATTTAACAACGCCGTGCAAACGCAGTAAAAGCGCAGTCTAGTGTGACAGGGCCTTTAAGCAAGATTTATGCGCATTGACAGCGCCGAGACAGTGTCATGTGAGCGCCGTAAAAGCGCAAAGATCGCAGAAGAACGCAGCCCGAACGCAGCTAGCACAATGCCTAGTGTCTAGGTTAATAACAAATTGTGCAAGCTATAATACCATCAAAAATAAATATTTAATTTATGACAGGTACTTAAAGTCTACCATTCACAAACGTTGCATAATTATGCTTTTTTTTTTCTTTAGAACATTGAATCAAAAGACCGGAGTGTTTCTTATCTAAATTATGAATGGCATTTAATTTCAAAATAGTGTCAAGTTAAAACACGACGGTTTAATTTCTAGTTGTAGCTTTGTATCAATCTGTGGTAATGTATTACTAATTGATAAGTTGTTTGATGTAAAAAAGATTTTTGTACTGTTTAACATTAACTATCAATCTAAGACAGTTATTTATGAATTGTCATTAGAATGAAACATTTTATTTTTGCTGATTCCCTTAAAGCAATTGATATTATATCTTGAATGTTAATGTTAATGATATCTAACAATATCTACTCTGTGACGAATCTGATTACCAATATTTATTTATCATAATGCTTTTATGTGTGTAAATATACTTGTATCTAAATATCGTGAGCATCAAATGATAACCAAAACATCATGACAATTATTATTTTTTATCTTTATTTAAATTGGGGAAACAGAAGCGCAAACA